AGAAATAAGACTCAAGCTAGGGAGTATTATCATCTAGATGCTTTAACAACCTAAGGGATTAGGGAGAACAAGTAACCAATGAAACAAGCGGGAATGCACGTAGGTATCCTAGTCTATGAACCATTCTCGTGATTAATAAACAAGGATTAGAACAAAGAATTGCCCCACTTTCGTGGTGAATCAATTCCAAGTCCATCAAGCACACAAAGCATCTAAAGCCCCCAATTTCCCCTATTTTCGTAGGAAGAAATCAGGTCTATGCAAGGGGTGGATTGGATTCATCACCCAACTCTTGTTGAGGCAATGAATCCTCCAAAAACAAGCTAATGAATGTGTACATCAAACATTAACAAGATACAAATACAAAACCATCACAAACACATGAACCCTAGGTTGGAGTTCTTCCCCTTTTTGCAATAATCACAAATCAAGCATCAAAATAGATAATACAACCCTAACTCAAGTCCATAAACTAACTACTCATGATTCAATAACATAAAGAACACAAAAACATAAATGTAAAGCATAAACATTGCAAGATAAAGAGATAAAAGGGAGAAGAAAACTTCACTAAGAAATGGATGGTAAATCTTGGAATCCAAGTGTTGAATCCTTGATTACAAGCTTGAAATATGTTAAGAAACCTAAATCTAAACCTAATCTAACATTACAATATGAAAGGAAGTGAAAGAGAAAAGCTAGGGCTCAACCATGGGTCAAAACCGTAGAGAAATGAGTGAATCCGCGCCTAAATAGTGAACAGAGCACAGAGGGACGCCCTCAGGGATGGGCGTACGGCAGGCAATACCATTTATTGTAGTGTTCACTGGAATGGGCGTACGGGCGTACGGCAGGGCGTACGCCACCTGCTTCCTTTTTCAGATCTAGGATGGGATGAGGGATGGGCATACGCAAGGGGGTACGAGGCTCCTGAAAATTCCTAAATGCATTCCAAACTCTTTGATTGATCTCTTGATCCAAGAATTGTTAGGAACTTTCCAAAAATCATTGAATTTCTCACTTGTTGTGAATGATTGCACCTTGAAATAAAACCAACATAACTTAGTCACAATTCACACAAGTTTTTAAGCAATTCACAAATAAAATGGGTTCAAGAAGGGGTAAAAATATAGACAAAAATAAACTTATCACTTTCCTCCAGTGTTGTTGAACTTTTTCTTTCCATATGATGTTGAGACTGCCACAAGCCCTTGTTCATCTACATTCTGATATTGAACTGCATTAGATTGGATAATTTCATTGCTCTTGTGACTACCAGAGCTATTGAGCTTTCTTTCCAGCTTCAATTCCATATTCAAAACATTTTCCATGTTTGGCACATGATCCATTACTAAGACTCCTGACTTTATGGTTTCAAAATCATCACTTAAGCCTTCCAGAAACCCTATCACCTGATCATCCTCTCTATCTTTCCGTATCTTGCTCATGAGTGTACAAGAACACCTAGGCACACATTCACATACATACATAGGTCTCATTGCGTTTAATTGTTCTCATAGGGCATTGCACTTTGTGAAATATTCATTGATAGACATACTGCCTTGCACATTCGTATAGATCTCATTCTGAACTTCTGCTATTCTGTGTGGATCAGCTTGTGAGTATCTTTTTCTCAGAGTTGTCCAGATCTCTTCTGCTATTTCAAAATACAACACACTTTCCGTTATGGTTGGATTGAGAGACTTCAAAATCCAAGAGCAGACGATGTCATTACATCTTTTCCAGATTGCATACCTCGGATCAGCTTCACCTGGACACGCAATAGTTCCATCCACGAATCCGAACTTGTTCTTCACACCTAAAGCAATTTTTATAGATCGGCTCCAGGATGCATAGTTGCTTTCGGAAAGAGGAGGAGATACTAGTGTTAGATTGGGATTCTTCGTGATGTAGAGATACAGAGGGTCATTGAAGTCCTCTTCTCGATATAGATGACTGCGACTTGCAGCGGTTTGGCTAACTGGAGGAGGAGCTGTGGCGTCTTCTGTTGACGTTCCTTCACCCACTCCGGGATCCATGACGATGGCGACGGCATAGCTACGGCGACGCTCTGATACCATGTTGGATTATGGAAGATGCACAGAGTGATGAATGGGAGCTAAACAGAAGGAAGGAAGAAAAGAGAACATTGTATTATTTTCAGTATGAAACCCTCATTACAACAGCAAAAGGAATAAAAGGATGGAAGAGTTCAAAAAACGGTTATAACAGATTTTGTTGTGTAAAGACAAGAATGCCCCTTGAGGAGTAAAGACATGAAAGCCCTTGTTGCCCTTGTGACTTCATCCATCTTCAACCTCCAACATTGTATTTTTTTTTTGAAAACCAGTTGTCTTGTATTTATAAGTTCATGCATGCAGGGAGCGCATTATGATGATGAAACACTGAAAAATCACCTCATTTTATTGACTGATTTTCTTGTTTTACTTGCACTACACATTTGAAAATTTTATAAGACAAAAATCTTTACTGATGGACAGAGCAGTGCATGTGAAAGAAGATGGATTGTATTATTATGTGAGTCAACTTATAGCAGAAAGGAAAGAAAGCATATTTATACATATGAATAGAGAAAAGAAAGAAGAGCAGTAGACGGTTATAACAGATTGGGGAGGTGCAAAGCCTATTATACCCTTCAAGATTTGTCATCCTCTATTACCCCCCCCGTAAGCTGGATCATGCAAGTTTCGCATGCCTAGCTTAGACACGAAAACCTTGAAAGGAGCAGCAGGGAGAGGCTTGGTGAAACCGTCAGCGATTTGATTCAAAGAGGAAACCGATAGCAGTTTGATCAGCCCATGTGACACCTTTTCCCGGACCAAGTGGCAATCTATTTCAATATGCTTGGTTCTTTCGTGAAACACATGATTCTCGACTATCGCCACGGCGGATTTATTGTCACAAAACATGGCAGCAGGCCTCTTTAAAGTAGCATGCAAATCTGCAAGACTGTATGTAATCCACTGTACTTCGCAAACAGTGGTGGCAAGAGCTCTATACTCCACTTCGGATGAAGATCTTGACACGGTTGCCTGCTTCTTAGATTTCCATGAGATGAGAGCAGTCCCCAGAAAAATGCAATATCCAGTAATGGATTTCCTTGTATCCACACATGAAGCCCAATCAGAGTCAGAGAAGACATTTAGCTGCAATTCAACACCCTTAGGATAGAACAAGCCTTGGCCAAGAGAGCTCTTAATATATATGAGAACTCTATGAGCTGCATTTAAGTGATTGTTAGTGGGAGCATCAATGAACTGACTTAATTGTTGAACTATATAGGCTATGTCTGGTCTGGTAGCAGTTAGGTATAGCAATCGGCCAACAAGTCTTCTGTACTTACTAGCATCTGTTAGAGGAGCACCATCATTGTGTTGCAGTTGGTGACCAGGTACCATGGGAGTATGAACGGGCTTGCATTCAAGAAAGCCTTCCACATCTAAGATATCTAGAGCATACTTTCTTTGACAAAGATGCAAGCCTGAGCTGTTCATCACTGCTTCAATGCCTAGGAAGTACCCGAGATTTCCCAAATCCTTTACACTGAAAGTTGTATCCAGGAATGTTTTGATGTCTGTGATTCGGGAGATGTTAGGACTTGTGATTAATATATCATCCACATATACGAGAGCAGCTATGAAATTGTCATCTTTCCCTTTTGTGAACAGAGAAGGATTCGATTTTGATTGAACAAAACCAATGCTGAACAAGGCAGTACAGAGCTTCTCATTCCATTGACGACTGGCCTGTTTAAGGCCATAGAGGGAGCGAAGTAATCGGCAAACCTGGTTTGGCTTATCCGTGTTAAAACCAGGGGGCAAAGTCATGTATACCTCCTCTGTTAGATCACCATGAAGGAAGGCGTTATTCACGTCTAACTGATGAACATGCCAGGCTCGGGCAGCAGCAACTGCTAGGAACGTCCGAATTGTAGTGATCCTCGCGACTGGAGAGAAGGTTTCTAAATAATCAATGCCCAATTGTTGAGTGTATCCCTTTGCAACAAGATGGGCTTTGTACCTTTCTATGGAGCCATCCGACTTCAACTTGAGTTTGTACACCCACTTACACCCTATGGGTGTTTTTCCCGCAGGCAACTCGGTTAATTCCCAGGTATGATTATCCTGTAAAGCTTGTATATCTGCAGTCATTGCTTTCTTCCAATTGTCATCTGTTATGGCTTGGCTGTATGTCTTTGGTTCATTAACCGCTATGACAGCCAAAGAGAAAGCTTTGTGTGCCGGGGTTAAGGCATCAAAGGACATGACTCTCGACAAGTGATGAGGAGAAGTGCCTTTAGTGATCACTGCTTCACAGTAATAGTCTTGAAGTCAGTTTGGAGCACGCCGGGGCCTTTCATATCTTCTCGGCTGCTCAACAATGGCATCATTTTGTGGGATGCATATATCAAGTTGTTGTGGCTGCTGCTGCATTGCCTCTTGCGAAGTTGATTGGCTGCTCATATTGTCATGGAAAAGGCTATCTTCAGAGACGTCAGCTTCATGGTGTTCGTGACGCACTGGACTGGGCAGAGGAGTCCCAGCATTAGCCTCATGGAGCTCAAGATGCATCAAAGTAGAGATTGGAATCAAGGGAAGACAAGGTTCAGTAGATTACAGTGGAGGTTTGTCCGTGATGTATTCTTCTTCAGAGAAAGGAAAATAAGTCTCATAAAAACTTACATCCCTTGATACAAATATGCTTTTATCATGCAAGTCATATAGCATGTAGCCCTTGATGTGAGCAGGAATACCTATGAAAATACACTTCTTGCTACGCTGAGCCATTTTATGTCTCGAAGGTGACAGGTTCGACGCATAACATAAGCATCCCAATACTTTCAAACTGCTCAGATCCGGTTCTTTCCCGTATAGCCTGCTGTAAGGAGTTGCCATTTTTAACACTGGTGAAGGCAGCCTATTGATAAGAAATGTGGCATGTAAGACACATTGTCCCCAAAATTCAAGGGGTAGAGAAGCTTAATACTTGAGAGCCCTTGCAACATTGAGTATGTGTTGGTGTTTTCTTTCAACAACCGCGTTTTGCTGTGGAGTATACACACAGGATTTTTGATGGTTAATTCCCTTGTCTGCGAGAAAATCTGCCATGTTAAATTCGGTCCCATTATCAGTCCAGATTGTCTTGATTAGAGCCCCAAACTGTGTGAATGCCATGGCATGGAACCGTTTCAGATGTTCCCTGACTTCAGACTTGTTCTTCATCAAGTGCAACCAAGTGAACCTAGAGTAGTCATCCACTAGAGTCAAGAAGTAACGCTCCCCTCTTAACGCAGCAACATGGAATGGCCCCCAAATATCTGCATGAATCAGATCAAAACATGCATTTGAAAGAGTAGTACTAAGGGGAAAGGGAGACCGTTTGTGTTTGGAAAAGTGGCAAACATCACAAGGAAAATCTTTAGGAACATAGCCTTTTATTTCATTCAAAACACTGAGTTTATTCATAGGGAAATGCCCTAATCTTTGGTGCCAAATCTCAACGCTATTACATTGTGCAATAACACTTTTATGATCTATATTCTGTGTACTTGGAGGCTTCGTCAGCAGGTATAAGCCATTTGTTTGTCTGGCCAAACCAACTATCTTCCCAAGGGGATCCTGAATCATGCATTGTTAAAGTGTAAAAGTCAGTTTATAACATGAACTTTGTAAGAGCTTGCTAACAGATATTAAGTTGAATTTGAAAGATGGAATATAGAGAGCATCTTTCAACCACAAATCTCTGTTAAGTCTAACATTTCCCGTGTGAGTAACTGCAATGGTCTTTCCAGTAGGGAGGTTCACTTCAGTGCCACAAGCAACATGATAATTATCAAAGAGATTTAAATCACAGATTATATGATCAGAGGCCCCGGAAACAATAATCCAAGTAGAAGAGGATAACAAAATGGAGTTGATATGATTAACAGAAGACTTGCCTTCATTTGAATTTTCTCCTTGGTTGAAATTTGGGACCATAGTGACAGCAGCAGAAGTTTTTGTATTTGAGGATTGCCCTATCTGAGTTTGAAGCAGAGAAATTAATTTCTCCATTTGATCTGCAGTGGCCACAGCAGGAAGAGAATCCAGACTTCCAGATTGTAAGTTCACAGCTGCTGCTTGTTTTCCCTTGGACTTATATCCCGGGATCCACCCCGGAGGATAACCGTGTTTCTTGAAACACTTATCAACCGTGTGTCCACTCATTCCACAGTATGTACATTTTGCTCCCTTGTTTGAATTTCCATTTCGTCTCCCATTATATTGATTACTATATGAGTTCATAGCAGCAACAACTTCATTCATGTTTCCTTGTTCAGACTGTACTGCATGAGCTTGACTAAACTCAAGGTTGCCTAAGTTCAAATTTGCCAACGCAATTTGTCTTTCTAGCTTTTCAGCCATAACAAACACCTTGTAAACCTCAGGAAGTGGATCAAGAACAAGAACGTTAGACTTCAAACTGCTATAATCATCATTAAGGCCTTGAAGGAAGTGTATAACCTGATCTACATCTCGTTCTTGCCTGATTTGATTGATTAATCCACAGGAACACTTCGGATTGACTAATCCACAGGAACACTTCAGATCGCACTTGCAGATGGGAAGCGGTCTCAACGCATTCATCTCTTCCCATAGGATTCTGCATCTCGTGTAATAATCGTTCACAGTAAGAGTTCCTTGCTTCAGATTGTAGATCTCGCTCTGCAACGTCGAGATCTTCTGCGCATCACATTGTGAGAACCTGCGCTTCAAATCTTCCCATACCTCTCTGGCATTATCCAAGTGCATTATGCTTTGAGCGATGGAGGCATGCACTGACTTGAATATCCAGGAACAGATGATGAGATTGCATGGTCTCCACGCTGTGTACTTGCTGTCTTCCCTGCTAGGTGCTGAGATACTTCCATCAATGATGCACCACTTATTTTTTACTTCCAATGCAATTTGCATTGAAATACTCCAGGATCCATAGTTCGCGCTGCCTTGCAGCGGTGGATTAACGAGAATGGCGCAGGGGTTATCATTCGCGTTGAGAAACAGCGGATTATCTAGATCTTCCATGGTGAGACTCCTTAGCTGTCTGATCGAAGCTCTCTGTTGTGGAGGAGTTCTCTGTAGCGAATGAGTTCTCTGACTTGGAGGTGTTCCTGTCTGTGGAACGGTCGGATCGTGATCTTGCACCGGCGATTGAGTGATCGGCGAAGCTGCACGCTGATATTGTCTCATCTCACCCGTGACGACGGCAGCGTAAGTGTTACGCCGGAATGGCTCTGATACCATGATGGACGGAGCAGTACATGTGAAAGAAGATGGATTGTATTATTATGTGAGTCAACTTACAGCAGAAAGGAAAGAAAGCATATTTATACATATGAACAGAGAAAAGAAAGAAGAGCAGTAGACGGTTATAACAGATTGGAGAGGTGCAAAGCCTATTATACCCTTCAAGATTTGTCATCCTCTATTATTTACTTACATATATATATTTAATAGCAAATTATTTGAAGAGAAACCAAAGAATTCTGAGTTTTAAATTCTTCTTTCTACCTGAGGGTCATTGGTTCTAGTTTGAAAAACCTTTCAACTAATTTTCTTTATTTTTAGTGATTTTAATAATTAATAGATGGTGGACAATAGGTGAATAATAAAATAATTTCATGAAGTTGTTTTGAATCTTGGGAAAATAAAGCAACATAATATCTTCTCAAGTCAATCCATTATTGCCATTATAATATCCAACAAATTGACTACACACAATGTAAACATTATTGCGCTGATACCAATTGTAACCAAATATGTTGAATCAATAAGCACATAGATTGAAAACGGTTGGAAAAATAGCACGAAAATGGCATAATAATAAGTGGTTATTTTGTGGTATAAATATATGTAGGTCCACTTCTAATTTAGGCCGAGTCAAAGTGGATTCGAGTTCTTCGTTGGAGATTGATATATTGTACGCTCAAAACGGATAATAATTGGTGAATGAGAAAATTAATTTTCAAAGTAGACTCATTTGAGTTGGAAAATGAAGGTGGAAAGGCTTTATTATTATTATTATTATTTTTTAAACGAAACCCAAGAGTATTATTGAACCAAAGAAGCAAGAACAAGGAAAAGAGACTGGACCAAACCATGTTTCAAAAAATGGGAACAAACCCGCTAACAACAATCAAAACCTATAACGAAACGGTGAAAATGCTTTAAAGTAGCTTTTTAAGGCATATTGGATTGTATAGTATAGTGGTTTTCTCTCGCACGCAAAAATGGCTGGCCTTGCAGCTAAGTTGCTCCTTTTCGTAAATAATGGTCGTCAGCAGATTTTATACACATCTGCTCCTACATTTTTAGCCTGCAAAACTCTGCTCTTCCTCCTTCTCAACCAACTGTGTTCATCCCTTGTTCTCGTTCGCTAGGTTCTATTGTTTGAGTACAGTTCTCAAACTTAGAACCGTAGCTTGTTTTATCTTGGAAAACCTAGACTACAACGCTCCTAGCACTAAATGAAGGTAGCAAATAAGGTTTTAAGAATAGTGTGGGTATCACACGACTCAAGCTAACAACCTAACCCTTTCAATCCTTTCATATTCTTGTGCTTGTTATTTTCCAGAAATAATCTCTTTCATAGGATTATTTCTTAACAAAAACAACTATAGATTAAAAACAACTATAGTCCGTTTTTTAAATGAATCAAACATTAAATGAAAATATAAATTTTTAACTTTTAACTAAATAGAAAAAGATTATTTTTTGTTTTATTTTTTTTTTGTCAAAAAATCAGAAAAATAAAAATATTTTTTTTTTGTCAAAAAATCAGAAAAATAAAAATATTTTTTAAAAAATAATTCATTTTTCTAAGAATTATTTTTTAAAAAATATATCCGTACGTATTTCTAATTGGATCCTAAGAAAATTATGTAGGGATTACGTACAATTTTATTTATTTATTTATTTTTGTTAAAGTATGGGGAGAAACTGAGAATACATAAACGTGATCAATATATATTTAAATTATTTAGTCTTTGAATACTTTGTCAATATTTAACTTATACATTATTTATTCAACAGACTGTTCCAATGCTACAAAATAATTTGCAGAGACAATCTAAAAAGCATATCCCAATATTATTCTATTTTAACGTGCGCAATATTTTATTATGATATTGCAATCTGTTGCAGGTATTCAAATCCCAATCAATCTAGAGTACAAATGAAATAAAGATTATTTTAATTGATATGGTCTGTCCAGCTGAAACGAAATCATTTGCAGTCACATTCATTGAATTAGTCTTTCAAAACAAAGGGTTTTTTATTTTTTATTTTTTTTGAAAACAAAGGATTAAAAAACAAAGGATGTTTTTTTGAATTAGTCTTTCAAAACAAAGGATTACTAACATTGAACTCATGCATGGCTTGGTAGCTCGTAGCTCTTTGAGCCATACACAGACACAATTGGACTGAGCTTAAACCTTATATCTGGTAATTGGAATGAGTTTTGGTGATAATATTTTATATGTTTGGTAGTAGGATGGAATCGGAATGATTACTAACATTGATGTTTGATTATATATTACTCTATATATCATCAGAATAAATGTTCTAAAAAAAAATAATCAATGCAATAGATCTTAAGAGTGTCGATGAAATGAGTAGGCAATGCAATGATGAAGTCGATGAAGTAAGGAGAGATGAGTGAGGAGAGGAGGAAATGAGGAGGCGATGAAATCATGGATAAGGCTGAATTACTAGAATGATACCTGATTTAAATTAGGTAATGAGTTTTATAATTATAGGGTAATCAAATGTTATACATGTTTGGTTTTCAAAAATAAAATCTTATATATGTTTGTGTTTTAAAAAATTGTCAACCAAACAATTAATGTGTATGACTTTCATTCTCATTCCTTGTATCTAATCCTATGAACCAAACACGCCTTTATTTTTTCAGCAATAATAGGAAATAACACATGCGGTTACGTAATTAATTCTCATAAAATAACTCTTTTTTTTTTTTTTTTGAAAATCTCATAAAATAACTCAATTTGACCACAATCTGTGCAAGTGAGAGAGAACCTTTATATTATACTATTCAAACTCTATTAACAATGTTGAAAAAATTGTTAGGCGCCCTCTAGGCGCTTGGGGACCGCCTAGGCACCTAGAGCGCCTAGGCGGGCGCCTAGAGCGCCTAGGCGCCGATTAATCGCCGCCTAGGCGCGATTTTTGCAATAGTGTCTATTAAAGAGCAATTTGTATTTATACTAATTCAAACTCACTCATCTTTTTCAATATAGGGCAAAAGCTTCTTCAATTCTAAGCTTTCTCATCTCCATTTTTTCAACTCAAATTGATATGCTTTGAGACTTACTTTTTTATCCACTCATTATCCATTTTAAACATACAATATATTAATTTCTTCATCTAACTATAAAAATTAAAAAAAAAAAATCATGAATCCACTTTAGTTCAACCCAAATAAAAAAGGGAGACGTGTCAAATAGGCCCATATACTATTGTCAAGTGCTCAATTCCCACCATAAACTAAATTAAATGCTAATTAACAACACTTACCTACTAAATTTGTTCAATTAGCTTTTTTTTTTGCAGGTTACCAATTCAATTATTAAAAAAATAATTTAAAAATTATTATTAAAAAAAAAAAATACAGCGACCGGCTGTCGGGCGAGGACAGCCGGTGGCTGTATTTTTTTTATTTTTATTTTTATTTTTATTTTATTTATTTATTTTAATAATTAAATCGGTAACCTGTTATTAACCTCTAAAAAAAGACAACTAAACAAATTTAACTCGTAGATGAACTTATTTAATACTTAATTTAATTCGTGGTGAAAATTGAACACTTCGCAGTAATAGATGGATCTATTTAACATTTGTGCCAATAAAAAAAGAAAACCATACCAATTTTGCTAAGATTTCGTACAATAACAACGTGCATTGCTGTATTATTATAATGGACTTCTCCTGACGACGTTGAAAAGCGTGGCAGATTATTATAATCGGTCACATTCGCATGACATGAGTGCCCAAAAAAATAGTACACAAATAATGATAATTTAAAATATATATATATATATATATATATATATATATATATATATATATATATATATATATATATATATATAGAATGATTAGATCTTAAACTTGTTCCTATTTATCACGGTATAAACTCGAGTGTGGATAGTCTAATTAAATAAGGATTTTTCATTAGCTTATTATACTTTTAAATACTTTTTGGATTTGTCATTAGAAATTGCCTATTTGGGTGGCTGGAATTGAAATTTTAGTTTATGAGAGAATTTTTTTTCTTCATATTTGAAGAAAATTAAATTATACCTTGTTTGGTTGATAAGTAAAGTTAATTATTTCACAATTATAAATTTCTTAATTTTCTTAGGTATTTTATTTTTCTTTACTTTTTTGAAAGAAAAAAAATACAACAATAATTTCAATAATAGCTTCATATATCCTTATTATGTAGGGGCATTGAATTTTTTATACTAATTATTCTCAATAATCTTTTTTTTTTTTTTCTCATGAAGCAAGTAACAATGAAATCAATATTCTAAGTATTTTATTTTTGTGAAATTTAAATTATATATGTTCGTCCTCATTTGTTTTCCATGAAACAAACAGATTGTAGGTGTTATATTGTTGATGATAATGTAGATTCGCTGTATTTTTCTAATAGAGATAATATTATTAGTTGATCAGTATGTATTTTGTTGATCACTATCGAAAGAGATATATCTACGGAAAAGTTTTAAATCAATAGAGATATATCTACATAAAAGCTAAGGCTAAAAAACATAACATAGCCAAGCGCATTATGCTCAGATGACACATTTGTGGTTCTCTTTGAGGGAAGGTCACAAGATCAAACTCCGGTGGTGGGATATTGATTCTTTGGACTGCAACAAATAGATAACATGTAGTGTGATGGTAAGCGGTTATATATGGTCACAAGATCAAACCCTGGTGAAATTTGGATATGTTTTAGATCTCTTCTGGGGCGTTCTATTGATATATTATACACTTTCTACTTCCTTACGGTTATTGAGATATTGATCTTCGAAGTAAGGGCAGCGTTTCTGTTTTTCTGGGTGATTCTTGAAATTCTTGATTCTGTTTTGAAGGGGTTGTGTGGATCCTCTTGGTCCGAAATTTTTGTTGATATTTACAGTAGTTATTTGGAGGTTACTTATCAAAAAAAATAAAAGGGCAAAAAAAGAGAAAGCAATAAAGAAGAAGAATAAGGT